CTTAAAATCTCATAACATCAGCTTTTAATGTTCCTCTTGGATGTTCTTCTTGACCCTCAGAGAAGGAGAGAATGTCGTGTCTTTCAGGCATGTCCTTTCCTAACAAAAATTACAGGAAACATAAAACATATTATTGCAGAACAAGTGTGTTATTTATGAAAGCAGTGTGTTTGTGTGTTTAGGGGCTGTAGATATAATTATTTTGTAATTGTAATGTTTTTTTTACAAAGACAATCAGATTATGAATGAACAGTATGAAGTTCATCAACATTGAAATATGTTATTATCAAAATGATATTTAACTGTTATCAAAACGTAGTCTAACTGTAGAAGCTTGCTCTGTTGTCTCACTGAAAGAATAACTTTTACCACGTTTTTTCAGACAATATTGAGAGATAAATAGTAGCAGTTCTCACTATGTGTTAAATATCTTTGCCTTCAATACATTAAATTATAAAGCTGACAAAGTCATATTGCTTGTTAACATCTAAATGTAACTTATTGCATGGAAAAAACCCTCAACTTAACTGATGTGTAGGTGATCTAGTATTTAGTATTGTTTAATGGAATGTATATCAGTGTATAGAAGTCAATACTTCATTCATTTAAACCAATATCTTTCTTGATTCTTTGTACAGTATGAAAAAAAAGAGTCTTTGTACCTGAGCTGAAGTTCACTGCTGTGAGGAGTCCAGTTCTGTCTCTCACTCTCTGGTCCAGCCTGTCTGCATCACCTGGACACCTTGAACAAACAGATATATATGTAAAGTACCATGTGTACAAACAATATACCGTAATTTTCGGACTATAAGCCGCGCCTTTTTTCCCATTTTTCGACCCTGCGGCTTATATAACGGTGCGGCTAATCTATGGATTTTTACAGCTAACGGCCACTAGGGGACCTCCTAAATCTATGGATTTTACAGGTTACAGTCCACCACCTTTAACTTTATGGGCTCTATGGCCGGTCCGCGCCCCCCACCTTTAAGCGGCGGGCTCCAGCAGGAAAAGCTGGAGGCCGGAAAAGAGTGAGACAGGTAGCGCGTAAAAGTGGAACCGAGAGTGGTACGAGAGACAGAACGAGAGCAAGACAGACAGACATTACGAGAGCGAGACAGTTTGTGCAAAGGAAGTTTTCATGCACAAACCCTCATTATGGAAAACAAACGTAGAAATGCATATGATGCAGCTTTTAAGTTAAAGGCAGTCAATCTGGCAGTAAAATAAGGAAATAGAGCTGCTGCACGTACCCTTGGCATCAATGAGTCAATGGTGAGACGTTGGAGACGCCAGCGGGAAGAACTGTCTCAATGCAAAAAGTCAAAAAAAGCATTCAGAGGTAATAAAAGCAGATGGCCCGAACTTGAAGACTTTCTTGAAGATTGGGTGAACACACAGAGAGCAGACGGCCGAGGTGTTTCCACCGTGCAGATCCGACTGAAAGCCAAAACAGTCGCCACCGAAATGAAAATTGAAAATTTTAGAGGTGGACCATCCTGGTGTTTCAGATTTATGAGACGAAAGGGACTGTCCATCAGGGCGCGGACGACTGTGTGTCAGCAACTCCCTCCCGACTACCAGGAAAAAATAACAAACTTCGGCGAATTCACACAAAGAAAGATAGAGGAATATTCCATCGGACCGGACCAGATCATAAATATGGATGAAGTGCCTTTGACGTTTGACCTGCCTCTCACTAGGACTGTTAACAAGAAAGGTGAATCGTCCATCACGTTGAGAACCACTGGCCACGAGAGAACGAATTTCACTTGTGTTCTTGGCTGCACAGCATCTGGATTAAAGCTTCCGCCAATGGTGATTTTTAAGCGGATTACAATGCCAAAAGAAAAGATCCCGAACGGCATCTCCTTTAAAGTCAACAAGAAAGGGTGGATGATGGAAAGCGTAATGAAGGAGTGGCTGAATGAGTGCTACGTCAAGCGCCCTGGAGGATTCTTTCGCCAAAAAAAAGCTTTGCTCGTTTTGGACAGCATGAGGGCCCATATAACAGATTCTGTGAAAGCAGCCATCAAGAGCACAAACTCAATTCCAGCTGTGATTCCTGGGGCACAACAAAGCATCTGCAGCCACTCGACATCAGTGTCAATCGTGCGTTCAAAGTGGCACTACGCGTTCAGTGGGAGGCGTGGATGACTAGCGGCGATAAATCATTCACCAAAACTGGTCGCATGCGAAAAGCAACTTTCGCTCAAGTTTGCGAGTGGATCCTGACAGCATGGAGGAGTGTCAAAACATCCACGATCACCAACGGCTTCCGAAAGGCTGGACTGCTGTGTGATGAAGAGGAGGACGCCGCCACAGCTGAGGCCCTTCAGAGGCTGTTCGATTCCGACAGTGACGAAGAGTTCGTTGGTTTTGAGAGCGACAACGAAGGAGAGAGGAGAGTGGCTGACGAAGCCACCCTGAGCCTGTTCGTTTCCGACACTGAAGATGAGGACTTTGGTGGTTTTAGTACGCAGGAAGAAGACGAAGATGAGGATTAATGACTTGACTTTTCTGGTTATAGCCTAAAAGATGAAGACGAGGATTAATGACTTTTCTGGTAGGCTGATTACCGTATGTTTTAAGCAGCCGTGTTACTGCAACTTTAGGCTTACGCGCTTACTGTCGTGTTACAGGCACTTTATTTTGCACTTTTAAAAAACACATTTAATTTAGCCATTGATATTGCCTCGTCAAGCGCTGTAAGCTTTGTTTTTTGTTATGGTACTACTGTAGGCTATAATGTAGATAAGTGGTTTTCAACCTTTTTCATGCCAAGGACCCCTAAATTGATATACATTTGGCCGCGGACCCCCAATTGAAAATATTTTGTGCCAGGGACCCCCAGAAGCAAAGATATCAGTTAATTTTCACTTTAAAAAATATAAATATTCAAAGATGTGCACACTTTTTCAAGGTTTTTCAAAAATAGCCAAAGCTAAGTGGTTAAATGATTGTGACGCTATTAACTAATTTAGCTGGGGAACCCCTAGCACTCCCTCAAGGACCACTGGTGGTCCCCGTACCACTGGTTGAAAACCACTGCTGTAGATCACTGCCGGTACGTGCGCTGGGAGCGCACCGTTTAAGTTTGAAAGTTGAAAAGTTTGTGTGTCTGAAACGCTATGTGATACAGTACAGTTTACACAGCACAGTACATGTTCTGTAGCTACTATTGCACTAAATGGTAACACTTGAATACGTTATGCAAATATGCAACTTGTTTGTTGAAATGTTAATAAATGGGAGCTTCCTCAAACAGCCATCTCTTTCCCGACAATCCCCTCTGTGCACGAACCCTTACATATGGTAATTAAACATTAAAACACCTGCGGCTTATAGTCCAGTGCGGCTTATATATGTACACATCATTCAATTTAGCTGCTGCGGCTTATATTCAGGTGCGCCTTATAGTCCGAAAATTACGGTAACTTATTCTCTTCTGTTGAACATGTTGGATTGTGTATTGTCCGAGTCAGGGTCCTTTTTATTTTACTGTAACTTTGGAAGTTGTGTTACCAATGCTTACTGTTTATTTGATACCCATTTGGTAATGCAATTAATACAAACAACAAGGTTTGGGTTCGTTCTTCAGATGACTGTGACGTTAACGTGTAAGCTCGATAATGAACTCCAGCTCAACCAACCATATTCTAATATCTAAGTAATCATCTTGAAATATGACATTAATAATTGTAATATGCACACATCTTATTGTGAGGTTCATTTCACATACACTACTTTGACATTAGCTTGTCTACATACTTGAGCATAGCCAAATTAACCTTAGCGATGCATACAGTTCCTACCTACATAATAAAATATCTCTCTAAGTTACAAGGATGTAACCTTATTTTATCAACCTCAAACAGAAGCCGTTTTTTCAACAGTATTATCCCACTTAACGCTTAACACTTGTCTATTTCGTTTTAACCTTTATATATACAGTCTATGATTTTAACTTGGAGGCTACGATTAGCATCGTTAGCACCGATGTACTGTAGCTACCACTCGCTTACATGCTAAACCAAGCCTTAACATTCATTACGTAGCTGATTAAAATCATTAACACATAAATAAAGCACTCTAATTTTATTTACCGCAAAACCGCATTCATGCACCGTCTGTTTTAACCGCAGAGCGAGTCACAATAGTCCGATATATAAGCATGAAGAACAAACAACCACGGCCGGCTTCAAGTTGTGTTTCCTGGATGAACTGACCAGGCAGAGTCCCTGTAGCTAGCTTCACGGAGCAGGTAGCAGAGAGACAAGAAGCTAGCAGCAGCAGTCACTTGACAGAGCCGTCACTCAATGTGACCACGCCCTAAGTTATGCACAAACTTTAAGACCTAATATAAATAAAAGGGTCGCGTTAGAAAACAATTCACTCACAGATTCATAATCATGACGGTGGAATCTAACTATATCGATAATAAAATGTATGGAGCCAGGGGTAGAAACATGTTTTTTTCTGCTGTAAAATTGGGCATTTTAACATGGGGGTCTATGGAAAATGCTCCTTTCTGCAGCCATCGCCTATCGGCCAATATATAAACTGCAGTCTGTGGCACTTCCGTATTGGCTACCCCACAGTTTGCCGCTTGGTTGTAACACAGAAACAATAACATCCAACAAATAGTTTACATGTCAAACAAGAATATTTCAATCACTTGGGATATTTTTTAATCTTACTGGATTTTGGTCAAGCAATTGATAGCTGTTGTGTCTTTCCTTGTTGGCAGGTACATTTTTCACCTTCATAGTTAGCGAATTTGATAGATGGAAGTTGCAAAAATACCATAAACCTTAATCTGATATAGAAATAACAACTGATTGAGAACTCTTTCTTCCTCTCCCTATGTTTCTGGAGCAAACTTACAAAAGCCTAGTGTCGCTGCCTGATCCGTACTGGAAACCCAACAATCTGATTAGGTCATTTACAAAGCAAAAGAAAAGGTATGTTACATGTAAGGCAAATCTCTCCTTCATCTGCAGAAGAAATGCCTCCTGGTTTGGAGGTGTCCCTGAGCCTCAAGAGGGTGCCAACAGTGGGTGAGAGCATCGTCATGTGTGTAACGGTCAGGAACAACTCGAGCAGCTCCCGGGTTCTGATGGAGCACGTCAACGCTCAGCTGAAGGAGTACAACAGAAACGCACAGGAGAGCTTCTGGAAGTCTCACAAAGAAGAGTGCATAAAGGCGGGGGAAGGTGAGAAGAGGATAGTATGAGTGTGTACTTTTTCTCATGCTAAAGAGGCCCTTTGGGGTTTTCCCTTTCCTGTAGCATTAAAAAGGTTTGTGTGCATGTAAATGGTCTGAAGAGGCAACAATCGGTTTCTCTCCCCCACACTCGACTGAAACACATCCATTGGACTCCTTTGTTTACTTCTCTAACATAGTGACATCACTAAATAACACTCAAATCTCTAAACAGTTCACAAAAACCTATAACACACTACAGGAAAGGGAAAAGGCCAAAAATGCATAAAAGCACCCCTTTAACAATGAATTATAAAGCTGGTAAACAAGAAGCTATACTATCCAATCATATTGTTCCTTTCTAAAAACTACAGGAATATCCACCATGTTTTTTTAAAAGGCATCAGGCCTTCCTTTTATAATATGGTCTAATTTCTGTAAGGCCAGAAAAGGATAGAGGTTTTTAAGCCAATATTTTTCCAAAAGACAGATATTTTATGTTAAGCTTGAAGAAGGGAAAAAACTGTGTTAAAAATGTATATTTTTTTGTGTGTCCATCTGCAGTTCTGAAGCTGGAACACTCCATCCTTTCCTCTGAGTACGAGTCTGTGCTGGCCGATGATGACATTATGAACGTGGCAGTTGTGATAAAGGACGTCCTGACGAAAGAAAGGTTCCTGGCCACGCAGGAGTTCAACGTAACCTCACCAAAGATAACCGTGGAGGTACAGTACAGCAGCAAACTCCACCCTTCACAAATACACTGTGCTTTGTTCTCTCTATTTCTTTTTCTTCTGCAGCGCTGTTTACTATGATATTCTGTATCCTGTTGGTTAAACATGACAAGATTAATATACGTAAATGAAGAGCATAAACCAAAATGTAACCAACATATGTTACTTTTCTTTAGGCAAACAACCTCCAAGAAATTACAGTTTTCCTTATCAACCAGCGCTTTTCTTATAGGTACTTTTGTCAAAGAACAATGTTTTAAAGGTTTTTATTTTTTAATAGATAAGCTAATATTGCCCTTTCGAGCAGAAAATAAAAATCCCTATGCTAGGTGGTAGCACTCAGTAGGAATGGTACTCAACTGTAAAGTGTGTATTGCACATGAGCAGCGCTATTGAGTTTTTTCGGTGGCTTTAGTGTGTCTTCCCATGTAAATACTTAATTTAAATGCATTTCAAACAAACGATAGGATCGGTTTTCAATTGATCTCCATCCGAGTCTGAAATCCAAATGTCCCACATCAAACTGTGTTATCATTAAACTGTAGTCAGGGTAAGGGCATAAAAGGGATAAAGGCATGGGTTTGAAAAAGGTCTTTATTCTTTATTTTTTATCCACAATAGCTTCCATAAAGTGTTGTCCAACACTCTTTTTTGGCCAACACAAAATCAAAATAAAAAAAGTAAAGAGCAACAGGTTCCAAACGACCTAACTAACATAAATCAGTATTTGTTGATGGACATTTTGAAAGAAAATGTGCTTATGATCCATCCGTTTATGTGGAGGTAGAAGAAGCTTTAGAGAGCCAGTATTATAGTTTTTCACAAAATAAAAAAATGGTATTTTGCCAGAATATCAGGCCCTGTTAGATGATAATCATGTTTTAATCCCACACAACCTTGCAGTGAATGTACAATGCACCACTTATCTGGCTGCTCTTGACCAACTAGTTTCCTGTAATTCGAAAGAACATGTTTTCTATCTGCTGGCAGCAAGAATGCTTTCTCTTTCTGTTGGAACAAAACCTCAACAGGAATGTAAAATGAGAACAATGAAGTAAAGAAAAATGTAGTTTGTGCTGATTTAAAGTCAACTCGACCACACCTGCATTATTTTTTTGTAAAGAAGTGTAACGGTGTGTCCACACAGCAGCTTTGACCAAATCTTGAAAATCCTGGAGCTGGGCGTGTCTGACAGCTTGGGGATTTCGCGACCAACAACCAATCACATGAATATCACATGAATATCCCGCCCCCGACATACAAAGCAAAAAAACCCGGTTCTTCTACAGTATTGTCAAATAGGAAGGGCTATGATGAACATTTATTTTAACATTTTTAACATTTATGAGATTAATGTTTATGGTGCTATTTTATGCTACATTCCATGCTGGCTAATGATACTGTCTATGCTTGCTAGCAACGAAGTAAACTAGCAACGAAGTAAACTGGATATAAAATCCCCAAACAAGCGAAAACCTACCAGTTTCACCCACTGCCTCTGCCACCTCCCTCCATGCCTGGTTCCTCCGGTTTGTATCCCGGTAAGTAAATAGGGACTGGTCATAAAGAACCGGGTGATTTTCTACCGCAATAACTAAGTTCACCTCCATTTTTGTGGAATATAGAAATGAACTGCGGGTCTGGTTCTCCCAGCTTGCACGCGGTTTGATTGGCTAGCGCTTGAACTGTCAGATTTGCATAAACGGATCTGATTGGCTGTCGCTTCCAGCTCAGCCTCAAAAGTTGAACATTGTTCAACTTTGGAATCCTGAACATCCTGGAAATCCTGGAAATCTTCGCCTCGCCCCCCCACAATGCAGTTCGGCGACAAGCGAGGGAAAGTGACGTCATCCCCATTCAAAGTCAATGGGCGGAGACGCGCTGGAAGCGGTGGACAAATCGCCAAAAGCTGCTGTGTGTACGGGCCGTAAGTGTTGACCAGCAAAGATTCTAAGGATTTGTTTATGTGTTTATTGATTTCATTATTTAAAGCATAAACACAACAGATAACAAAACGATGGGTTACGTATTGTAACCCTAGTTATATAAGCACTGGCGGAGCCCTCTACTGGACTCTATGGGTACTGCCCTTGACCTCACTATGCGAGCGTTCACCTACTGAAAAATTTATAAACGTAGCCCGCCCCGGGGGTGGGCCTACCTGAGTGCGCGCGCAGGCCCACAGTATATAAGGCGGCCTCGCCTCCTGACTGTTATCCTACACCCTCTTCAGCGAGCGGCATAGGACAGACAGGGCCCCCTAGTAGAGGGCTCCGCCTCTGCTTGTATAACTAAGGTTACAATACGTAACCCATCGTTATATCTCTCACAGGCTCCGCCCTCTACTGGACTCTATGGGTACAGTGGGTGGAGCCCTGATGGATACACGCCCTGTCGTCCAACAACCCATCACACTGCCCCTGACCGGCATTTTTTGGTTAACAGCCACTGCACTGCAACCTCTCTCGCGAAGGGTGTGCATGGGAAAAATAGTGAGGACGGCTCCCCCTGCCCTAAGGAGCATGGGAAAACACAAGTGCAATATGTCCGGGAGGGGGGGGTCAGATATCTACTGACCCACAAGACAAGGGCTCTAGACTCCCCTCTTCACACCATCGCTGGAACGCCAACCACTTTGGCCTGTAACAGGCTGTGGTGGATCCTGCTCTCGCTGCCTGGATAGTCTGGATAACTTTGTCAGACAATCCCCCCTGTCTCAGCCTGTCCCTCTCAGGAGCCAAGCCTGGAGAGGTTGGCCCAGAGAGGGTAACGCCCCTATTGCACCAGCCCCCTGAGACATCGCCCCCCAGACCTGAGGAACTGCCCAGGGCTGGCCCGCCATCATCTGTGCCCCCCCCCCCCCCCTCAAACCACGGCGCCACACGGCAGTCTGGGGCCACTAGGATGACTGAGAGGTGTTCTCGTCTCACCCTCTCCAGGAGGGGGAGAATGAGGCGCAGCGGTGGAAAGGCGTAGAGCAGCTTTCTTGGCCATGGCTCGTGTGCAAACGTGTCCACCCCCAAGGGCGGATTGTCCCGCAGAGGCATGGAAAACCACAGAGTACAGTGGCTGTTTCGTCGGTTGGCGAACAGGTCCACCTCTGCTCTCCCGAACCGGGCCCAGATCTGCTTCACCACCTCCGGGTGAAGCACCCAATTGCCTGGCAGGGGCCCACCTCTTGACATGAGGTCGGCCCTCCCGTTCTCCAGTCCCGGTTGTGGAGGGCTCTCAGAGACAACACAATCTCTGAGGCCCATAACCACAGGTTCTCTGCTGTGGTCAACAAGGCAGCGGAGCGGACTCCTCTCTGCCTGTTGATGTACGCCACTGTGGTGCGGTTGTCGCTCCTCACCAGCACATGTTTGCCCTGTATTACAGGTTTGAAGTGCTGGAGGACCAACCCTACTGCCCGCAGCTCTAGGAGGTTGCTGTGTTGAGTCTCTGTCAGAGCCCAGCGACCACCTATAGCTCTCTCTAGGCAGGTCCCCCCCCCCATCTGTCACGATTATCCTGCTGAACAAAACATCTATGTACCATAAACGTTTGTTTGCTAAAGAGTTTATTTTTGCAACATTCAGAAGTCCAATGGTAAAATGTCATTGCTTTGTATGTAGGGAGCCATGTGCTAATTTCCAGGTTGACCTAAAAAAACATGTCATTAGTGCAACACTCTATACTGTAAAATAAAATAAAAACTGTAAAATATTTTTGGAATAATTTATAAAGAATTATTGCACAGAGCTTGTTGTCTCGTGTCTCTTCCACAGATTGAAGGAGGGGGCAGCATCCAGATGAAGAAGGAGTACAAAGCCCATGTGTCCTTCACCAACACATGCAGCAGTAGTGTGAATGGAGCCGTGCTGACAGTAGAGGGGTCTGGCCTGCTGCAGGGCAAACAGGAAGCCAGGTGAGTCTGACACAAGGGCCTCACAATAAATCATCTTGTGCCAAAGAACAGGTGTCGTTAGAAAGAGACCTTGTTACCTTGGAGGGTTAGATATATCCTTCCTTTATCTGTGAGCTGGATAAAGAGTTGGTCTGTAGTGTCAGTGTCTGAGGAATGCTGTCAGATCAGTTTGTGCAGAAGGATAACATCTGAACGTGTTTAGCTAAAGTATGGACCTGTCATCCTCGTTAAATGCAATAATATATATGCATGCAATGATCCCCTCCTGACTTTCTAACCATTATTCAAATTCAAAGTACAATGTTCTTCATTGGCAAAGCAGGTAACGATTTAAATCTAATTAAAAAAAACTACATTTTTTAAGAGCATTATAATCTATAGCAATAGAAACTAATTATAAAATTGACATTTACTTAAAAACACTTAAAAAGCCAAAAACATACAAACTACAACAAGCTAAAAATAAATAATAACTGTTGAGAAATACAAGAATAAAAACACTTAATAATTAAATGCAATGATGAGGCCGGTTTCAGACAGAGGGTGAAAAGAGGTGCTCTCGCACAGACAGTATGAGAAAAATAAAGACCTTTTTGAAAATTAAAGCATGGAAACATGTCACTATGGAACACAACGTACAAATATGAACCTGAAAAGGAGAAAAATAGTGCCCCTATATGTTCAAATACACCCATTAAAAACAAACTGGACCTATACACATTAGTCCCAATTTACACATACATTATTGTGCTATAAAAGAAAAACATGACAAAAGAAAACAGAACAAAAGCAATGTTACCTTCCTGTAGGGACGTTTTCAAATGTGTATCAGTGGTAATGAACACAGCAGAAACAAAGAAATGTGGTTTTGCAATACTTTCTTAGTCTATTTGCTCCATGCGGGGGCTTGAATCGGAGACCATCTCAACCCAAGCCAACCCATGCTGACTGTGGCATGTGGGCATTATTCAAATTCACATGTTCTGCTTAGCCTTTATTAGAGGGATTTCATTTTGCAGTGATCGCTTTTACCTCTCACCTGTTTCTGATGTTTAAATTCCTCCTGATGCAAATTTGAGAAATACCTTACAGGAATGTAACACTGGTTATGTTCTCTTTTCTTTTGAGATGTGTTTCTGACAAAGCTGCAACTGCATTTAGTTGTGCAATCCCATTGTGCAGAATGAAAATAACGGATCCATGAAACCTTTTATTTTTTAGACAATCTGTTTTTCTCTGGGTTCTCTGTCAGTGTCACTAGTTCATTATGTTATAAGTCTTTGCAATGTATAATCAATAACACATTTTAATATCCATTTGTCTTTATTTGTTTGTTTGTTTTTAATCCATTGTAGTGTTAAGATTTAATCTCATGTTTCCCTCCCAGACAGGAATAAGATTGCTAAAAAGAGAAGATATTCAGCAGAGTCATGTAGAGGGATGACTGTAAGAGGGATCATTGTGGTTTGGCATTGGTTTTATTCGCTTGAAGGGGCCCTAAATGTTCATATTTGTAATTGTTGCCTCTACTGTGACATGTCTCCATGCTTTAATGTTCAAAAACTCTTTATTTTTCTCATACTGCCTGTGCTGCAGCACCTCTTTTCACCCTCTGTCTGAAACCAGAGCCCAGTCTGCTCTGATTGGTTCGCTGGCCGGCTCTGTTGTGATTGGTCAACTGCTTAGAGATGTCCCACCCCTCAGCCTATCACGTACAATGTGTTGGAGTGCTGGCCAATAGAAGCGCAAGTGTGACAAAGTGATTGTGGATAGAGCAGACACTACCCACAGTCACTATGTTACGTAGGTAAACAGAGGGGTCCAATGGAGGAGTTTCAGGCAGAGGGGGAGTGTGTGGGAGAGAAACTCCCTCTGGAGGGAACACAGGGATTTTAGCCTTTGCAGAACATTTACATGCACTAAAATCTATATATAGAGCACTACAGTAAAGGGATAACCCCAAAAAGCATAATAGGGCCCATTTAATAATCTCCATAACTGGTAAAAGATGTCTTGAATAACTTGAAGTATAAATCAACACTCATCGCCGACACATACACAGAACTATTAGGATCGTTTTTGGCTATCTCACAACAACAATTGATCTCTGTTTCATGGCTGCTCTGATCATATTCTAAGCGGGTCCTTGTGTGTGTTGAAATGGGGAAAGATTACAGTTTTTTCTCTCTCTGTTAGGATGGCTATCCTGAAGCAGGACGAGAAGATAGAGAAGACAGTGACCATCATGGCCGCTGGCCCCGGCACGAAACTGCTGAAGGCGACTTTCTCACACAGTAACAGCCCCAAAGCCATTTCCAGAACCTTCCACAAAGTCACTGCCGTGAGTGCATGACACTCATGAGTCCATCCTCCAGAAAAGCTCCAGGAAATTATTTTCTTTGCAGTAAGACCTGGACAGTGACTTTGTTTTATTGTTAAAATGTTGTGTTTTGGTAGTCTCCATTCATTGATCCATTCTAAATAATCGACATACACTATATTCTGTAACGGTGATCGGGTACATCAAAGTCAAAGAACAATATTTCTGTATTCTATCATACATGGTTTGATCATTTTAAAAAATATCCAACAGGTTTTACATACATGTACCATACTATACACAAAACATTTTTTATATATGATAATATGAATATATCATAGTATTTAGTACTTGTCTTCTTTACCTTTTCTTTTGGAGTTGCATAAATACATTTCCATCAGTAAACTCAACCAGCTGATTGTCTCAGAAATGTCAGGCAAAACGAAATGTCTCTAATATGATTGGTAGCAACCACGCCTATAGAAAAAAATCACTTATTAAGTAGCCAGTTTCAAAAAGATCTGATGACAGCATTATGAGTATGTCTTCACACTGATGGTTCATATATAAAGAATACACACTGTATACTTTTCATTTTATGATTATAAAGAAGGGGCCTTATGTGACTTATGATTAAATAGTTATCACAAAGATCAGAGATAATGAATGAATCCTTACTCTCTACTAGTGAGTCAGATCATGGGACACTTACAGTAGTTGCCTTTAACTTCCTGTCTTGGTGCTCAGTGTGAGTTCAAGTCTTTGAGTTTCCTCACAAGGAAAGGTTTGACAGTTAAGACAGAAAAGCTTGAACAAATAAATGATTAATTAGAAAAATAAATGTGTATACATTCAAACACACTGCCTAGTTTACTACTGATAACGTTAGACAGAAATCATCGGAATAAAATGTCTTCATTTTCAAGTTGCCTCATAATGAATCTATTGTTTGTTAGGTATTTTCAAGCTGGTAGCACAACATTCCATAAATAGCATAACAAAATTATATATATTTTGTATTAATCAACTAAATAGTAAAACAAATAAAACAATCAAATAGAATGAGGTGGTTTCACAAGAAAGCAATATTATGATAAATAAAAAAAGAAAGTCTAGCAGATCAAATACCAACTGGAAGATGGGACTGCACTATTATTTTGACTGATGTTGCAATTAGATATCGGAGAGATTCATCATAATTGAATGATTAAAAAACACATATAATACATGCTCATTGCGTGATTTTCCTTTTCAAGAGGATCTGTGCCAAACTAAAGGCTTTTTTGAGTCTGTAGAATACAATTTGTAGGCCGGTACTTCTCTGCTGCTTAAAAATACTTAAATCATATTGGGATTTTGTTTACACTTTTGATTGAATGTGCAGCCCTTCTGGAAGAGGTACCAATACAGAAAGTGCTCGATTTCCCTTTGACCTACTTCCTGTCAGCCTTGCCAGTCAAGTTTCTCACCATTCATAGAAAATAGCAGTATAACAGACATGTAATTAGTAGGTTTGTCTTGTCAACACCCCCAACGTGCCTTTGTCTTTCTGCGAATGTCACTGAGTTCAAACTTGTAATCATGCATTACATGGGAAATGACAATAGTGAAGCCAGGTAGATTGTGTGCTCGATAATAAACGTGTAACTTGTGATTGTCCCTTCACAGGCTGAACTGCATTTCTGTTATTGAGTATCAGCACTAGATGGCAGCATTGGAGTATCTACCAATGAGTCTGTGTCTGTTTTCTCTCTAGAAATCAATGATCTGCTTTCCTAAGCTTTTGACTCTGGTTATTTTATCACTTTGCCTTTGGCACTGCCTGCGTCCTGTGATCATTAAGGGAATATTTGACATTTAGTCTCAGAAGTAAATTTAAATGAGTGGCTAAATGATTTTCCTGTGTTCCTTTGCCCCTTTTGTAAAACTATGTCTCAGCTGTCAGAGTTAGAGTGCAAAGAGCATACACTTTTTTTTTTTTTCATGCACACCAGTTGCTTAATGCATCAGTAATTTATTTTTAATTGGCACAATGTCTTAAAACAATTATTTACTTTTTCATTGAAAAATGTTAGTTGCTGTGAACATCGAGAGAGAGAGAAAGAAATGTTAAAATTCCTATATTTCAGACTTATTTCAGAACTTATAATCACAGATTCTTGTGACTAAATCTTTTGACTTGAACTGATTTGAGTTGAACAGATAATTAAACTCATCAAATTTAGAAAAGGTCCCATCATGCATTGTTTCATAGTTAAAAGCAACCATTTAACACCTGAAAATAAGTCAAGGCTGTTTCTCTGTTTTCTAAAATGTTTTTTTGTGTGTTGTGTTTTCACATTATTTTTGACAGATGAAAATGTGGAGCAGAGAAAGCAGGGTAAAAAATGCAACAATTGTCCCAAAGCTGGAACCATAATAAATTAAACAATCCTGACGACGATAATGTTTGGTATACATTGATTTTAAATGCTCCTTTGTTAACCTTAGTTTTGTTGTTAAATCTTGTTACATTTCAGGGATAATTGTGGTCAAGATTCATAGTCACCAATGATGACTGTCCCATTGTTTGTTTGTTTATTGGTTGAGTTGTCCGGGACCATGTACAAAATAACATAAATCCCAGATGCGTTGTAGCAGATTATAGCAATTTTCTCATTTCCATCTGCAGTCCACATTATTGAACTCGTCTTAAATTCACCTTAGTATTTATTTACCAATCTATTTGTCCTTTTATCTTAGTACTGTCAAATATTGTTGCCAGTTTCTATCATATAAAGTCAAGCTGATCCATTCCTCTTTGGTTCCGTAGTGTTGTCATTGACAAAAAAGCTAATTGATCAGCATATTAAGTGATATAACACCTCTTAAATGTCAGCTTCATTTAGCTAAACTCATATTGTTAGGGGAGCTAAACCCAGTTTAAATGTTTTTCTATAGTGGAGAAGCATTGTTAACTAATATAAGGTCAACTCTATTCGTGTTATATACTTTTCCAAACTCTTTCCATGAGTCTCCTGCATGGTGTACAGACCATTACCAGCAGCTCGAAGACCATTTTGGCCACTGAAAGAGAAGCTACTTTACTGTAGTAATTCCTTCCAGAAATAGGCCCATCAGAAAGCCTGTAAAACTATACTGACTGAGCGCGGACAAGGGCACTTTACTGCTCACCCTGCACTTTTCCCTGTCAATATAATGGGCTTATAAATGGGATGATATAGAAGACCTCAGCTCTGTATTTGGGCATTTAATTTCAGGGAGCTCTGAGAAGCTTTCCACTGAGATGCTTTGCGGATGCAGCTTCCTCCACGAGGATTGTTTTGACCTGAAGGATTCCAGGCTGACATGTTTGTACCGAGCAGCTTGTGATCTCACCTCGGTGTTAGGGAGATGGAAGCAGAGGCGTTGGCAGACGGAGACGATAATCAGACTCCACGCTTGCTGATTTTCAGACAAATTAAACGTCAGGGGAAAGCAGGGAGCGGGACCGCTGGGCTGCTTTGAAAAGCTGAGGCTATCATAAATTATTAATGGCTCCCCGTCACGGCCTCCCTCTCTGCATCCCTCGCTCTCTTCCAACCATCCTGATCTTCATCCATCCTCGACTGTGTTGCATTTCTTCCTTTCTTACTTTGTTCCTCTTCCTCTGTCATTTCTCCCTCCTCTGCACCAATCACCTCTTTTTTTAATCACTTCTTATTCGCCTCCTTTATCTTCTGTCCATACCTCCCCCCCTCGGTTCTCCCTCTCATTTCTGCCTTCTTGTTGACTTCACTGATTTTCCTCCCTCCCATCCATCTGCTGTTCATTACCTCTACCCTCCTTAATCTTGATCACTTTTTCCTCTTTTGCATATCCCTCCCTTCCTTCATTACTTCCTTCACTTGAACCCTTATTGCCTCCTGTTTTCCCGTTGTTTTCTCTTCTGATTTTTCCTTTGTCATTGTAAGGCCAATAGTTAACCTAGCTAGTAAATATACAGTATCTATTTTAGATATTGTATCAAACTTTGACTTTAGTAAAGATCCTCAAACACAGCCCACTATCCACGTAATTCAATTCCAATCATATTAGACAATTATACACCCAACGATTAACAGCCAATACTAACATTTAGTAAAAATGCAGGTCTCCTATCATGCAAAATGCACTTTTTGATGTATTTTATACATAAATACGTCAGGGAACTCACAAAGTGTCAGAAAACAAAACGTTCTCTCTTTTCCCCGTACCCACATTTCTAAAAACGGGGGTACAACGGAGCTGATCCAGATATGCTGCAGATATGACGTAATATCGGAAATGTGGGCTGGCTGTACGCCCACAGCCCTATCAGAAACGTTACTATCAGAAGGCTCACCAGCGTCTCTTCTTCTTGAGGAGACTAAAGAAAAATCACCACTCTCCTCAGATTCTGGTAAACTTGTATCGCGGCACCATCGAGAGCATCCTGACCTTTGTGTCTGATGATTTATAAAACATCATAGACACAAAGGTATATCCGTCATTTAACGGTAAGCTATTGAAATTGTGATTCCATAGATGTGTCTCCCATCACCCAAAACCCCTGACTATTCTCTCAACTCAGTATTTACATTCTTTAATTCAAAGAAAATCAGTAATATCTTTAAAAACTACAAGTCCCTTTCTATCAGCTGTGCACCGTTATGGTGTAAATACAGCCTATCTACTAATTGGATCAAATATAAAAGTCAGCCGAATTAGTGTTGATACTGCAAGGAGGCGTATTGTGTGAAGAGAAATTGAAGATGTTGTTTAATTGCTGATATATTTATGATCCACGTCACATATTCAGTTTCGGCAGCAGTTCTTCAAGTTTGTCCAGAAGTCTTCTCATCAGGGCTCTATAAATAAAGAACTACGGCAGATGTGTAATATTTAATGCAGCCGAACCGTGTATTACAATGCCGTTATGTGATGACTTCCAAAGAGAAAAGCAAGAACACTCGGAATAAAGTATTATTTTCTTTTCTTTTTAAAAAATGTTTTCGGATTTCACATCGCATAAACACCATATTCCAACCTGCATTGCGGCTAAAACATCCACTCACTGAGCTTAAACGATAGCTGAGGATTATGGGTAGTTCGATGTTTTAGCCTATCAAAACTTCTGAAAAAAGAAATGTGTCTCTCAGAATCAAAAGGGAAAAACCTATGGGAAAAACACAAAAGCATTGTACACAATTTAAACCAATGAATGTTATGTAATTAACAAGGATAAACTGATGTTTTTTAGTGGATGAGTACGGCAGATATCACTGTTAAATCATTTGACAGTGAGGGGAATACGGTTTTATTATGAAAACTTCGAGACCGGAAATACTGTTTTCACCCTGTGAGGGTTGACGCTAACTTTACATGGACGTTGCTTGAACAATCGACCTATTTGGTCGTATGAGTTGGAGGACTTGTTGCTCAGAGCTAACCTGTACTGGATAGACTGTGTAAAAAAGGAGAATATAAAAGGCACTCACCTTGTGATAAACCTGCAAGAGAAAAAGCATTTGAGCTCCATACTGTTTCAGAAATAATCCTTGATGTGGTTTGGAACATCATATGGCATTTAATGACGGCAGCATTTAGCTGAGTATCTGCCGGTAGAAATCTCTCTCTTCTCTCTGGAGCTCACAGTGTGCCTGCGTGCTCCAAAGGGGGCGGGGTCGGAATCTACTGACCCAGAATCAGCCCTTCTCTAGGGCTGAAATAGAGGGATATGAGGGATGTCTAAAATGCATGATCTGGTTGGTATTTTGAGCAAAACACATCATAGACATGTTTTTTATATATTTGTATATATCTGAGACCCATAATGTATACCTAAAAATAGCATAATAGGACACCTTTAAGTGGCTAACTCAAGGGTCAACCTCCACTAAATCAAGTGCATTACACTTGCATTCTCTCTAATGGCCAGCAGGGGGCAACTCCACTGATTACAAAAATAAGTCTGGTTGTAAAGAAGTCTATGAAAAAATACCCTACTTCTCGGAGGATAAATTACCTAAGTAAACATTTTACTAATGAGTTTATGGTGTCAAATTGTTGGTTTTATGTTTTCTTCAACAAAGCATGATGTTCATCTTTTAAACTATATTTAAGTAGTAAAAAAGACAGCTAAGCAGGGTCTGCTTTGGGGCAGAGCTACCCTGTCATTGTCTGGTCTTGGTGTCTGTGTTTTCGTCCTACTTTCACAGCATGTTTTCAGATGATCAAAGTTAATTATAACATTGTGGTTGCCTTAAAAGATTTACTGTTCAGGATTGTACTTTGCTCCACCGATTAATTCTGGTTCCAAAAAAACAAGATGGTGTTGAACAAGAACCAAAGTCCACAAACCAATTGGTGACGTCTCAGTGACTTTGTCCACTTCTTTTACAGTTTTGAACGAGATGGAATTTAAGGCTGTGTCGTTTCGGGGGGTGGACTTGCATGTAGTTCCCATGCTAAAAAATATAAAAAGTAAGAATTGTAACATGTCAGTATTGTGTCCCTAATAAGTGAGAGTGTAACTGTTAAAACATGTGCTTCAGGCTCTGTGGCTCAGCTTTAGGTCCTCCTCCCCCTTCCTGCTATTGGCTGTTGAATGTGGGACCCTGCAGCCAATCACAGTTAATCTCTAGGTTTTTAAAGAGCTGCACCTGTGGAGGACTACCTGGCCATTTTCTGCTCCCTGCTTGCACCAAAACTGTTGGTTTTCCTTACCATTTTTAACTCCTACAATATGTTGAGTCATAAGCTTTAAATCACATTATCTGAATACCAAACTGAAGATGTAATTGTCCAAAGAAAATCTATTACCTAAAAAGTTCTAATTACATCATCAGTTACATGTGACGAGTGGTGGAAGAGGAACTCAGATCTTCTGTTCAAATGCTATCTGGCCCAATTCGATGTCAATTATATTAACCTGTTCTACACCGCCCCCCCGATACCGGGGGGAAAAACGTGTCATCTGCAGGAAACAGCGTCCGAGGGGATCTTAATATTCAATAAACTATGAATGTTTTTATATCCATGTAATGGGAAGAGACTCAGCTAACTGATCTTTTTTTAACCTAACCTAATCTAACCCTATTTAAAAAAAAAAAGCTAATGCTGAGCCTATGAATGAGCGCCGTTGGGGAGAAAATCAGCAACGTAAACGGTGAGGTCATGACTCAGCAGCGGCAGCACCAGTCGGGCTCTGGGCGGTGTGAACAAAACGGGGGCTGAAAAGAAGAACCGATTCCGAAACCAGAAAAGCTCTAGCACGGAGCTAGAATGGGAACTGCGTTGGTGTGAAAGGGGCATAAGCAGTGGACCAATCACAATATAGCCGGCCAGCTAACCAATCAGTGCAGACTGGGAGGCACAAAATACAAATATGAACCTGAAGATGAGCGTAATAGGGCCCCTTTAAAAGAACAGCAATCGCTTA